TGTTGTGTCTCCTGTAATGCATCTTTTTTTATTGCTTATTAATTTAAAAAATAAAAAGAAAATAATAAATGAATATTTATTCATCATTATAATAATAATCATCATCGTCATAATAATAGTCATCATCTTCTTCACCATAATCATCTTCTTCTGAGATACTTTCTTCGTTTAGTCTTTCAAAGTATTGGTATGAAAATGTAAGAGTTTCTTTTACTATTTTCTTACAAATTTTCATATCAACTAGTGCAATCTCTTCCATTACATCATCATCAAAAATTTCGAAGAAATCAAAAAATGATTTATTCTTTTTAAGCTTATCATAATACAAATCTGTCATTTCTGTTCCAGAACTATTTAAAATAAATGTTTCTTCATTACTTATCCTTAAATATAACAAACTTAACAATTGTACATGTTGGATAATTAGTTTCATTAATATTATATGTTATTTCTTTTGTTAAAAAGGTTTTATTCATATAAGGGTTTTGTTTAAATTCAAATGATAATGTATAGCCAATTAATAATGTTTGCTCTTCAGGCAAAATAGTATGAGGAACAATTTTAGAATGAATATTAGAAATACTAATATCAGTAAGATATTCTAATACTTCATAGTCTAAAGTAGAAGGATTAAGTTCACTAATCCAACTACTATTTTTTACTACAAAATACCAATAATATTTTATATTCATTATTTCTTTTTTTTGTTGTTGATGAAATTCTAACCATCTTTCCATTGTATCTTTAAATACATTAAATCTAACTAAATCAGAGTTAAATCTTTTTCCTTTAACTTCTTTTTCTTTTTGAATTATTTGTTCTAATGATAACATTACAAAAAGATTTAAATTAAATAGTTCTTTTTTTCTTATCAATTTTATTTTTTAATTTTTCAATCTTAAGATTTATTTGTCCTATCTCTTCTTTTATTTTATTACTCTTTCGTTTAATCTCAACTATTTTGCTTCTAAAATCAATTCGTAATTGGTTTATTTTTTGTGTTATATTGTCTTGTTCAACTGCTTCTCTGAGACTTGTTTCTAATTGGCTCTTCTTAGAAGTATATGTCTCAATAACTTTTATTTCTTGGTCTTCTAAGACTTTAAACTTCTGTTGTAATTGTTGTAGAGAATAAAAAAGACTTTTTAGTTGGTTTGTTTTTTGTGTGATGCAATTTTCGTTATTACAAAATTGGCAAGATACTGCAATAAAAAATAAGAAGAGAAGCATTTTATATAAGACTACTAAGAAGAACTGAAAATATATGTTATTTTATCATTTAAAAGTATTATAAGGGAATTATATAATTAATATTTTGAGATTATATCTAAAAACTCAATTTAAATGGACCTTTGGGGAATTCTTAAATGTATGACACCAGGACATAAAGACATTCCGTTACAAAAATGGATAGAACCAATTGGAAGAGCGAATAAGGAATGTGATATTCATGAACCAAATATAAGTTCAAAACATTGTACAATTGAAAAAAGAATGATTGGAAATGAAACAATTTTCTTTATTACTGATGTTTCTAGTAATGGGACATGGGTGAACCACAGTCTAATTGATAAATTAGAACAAGTTCCATTAACATGTTATGATGAAATTACTTTATTAGACCCAAACCTTCAAAAGAAGAAATGTATTAGTTATATGTTTGTAGATATTGAATTTGAAAAAAAAGAATCTGCTTTAGGTGGACCACAAAGTCGATATGAAATATTAGACTTTTTGGGAATAGGAGGATTTGGTGTTGTTAGAAAAGTAAAAAGGATTAGTGATGGAACTTTATGGGCAATGAAAAAAATTAATATCTCAAAGGCAAGAGCTAAAGGAGAAGATAAAATGATTCGAAATGAATGCGATGTTTTAAGACAAGTAAATCATCCATCTATAATCAAATTAGGAGAGGTTTTAGAAACTAGAGACTTTGTATATATTATTATGGAATTTATTAGTGGTGGAAATTTATTAAGAGGTGTTAGATTAGCTAATGAACATGAAAGAGAAATTCATAAACAAGAACTTGATACTTTAAAAGAAAAAATGGCAGACTGTGTAAATAAACATAAAGTGGATGAATATAATGTTCTTGAAGAAAAATATCTTAACTTAAAAGAAGAAATTGATTACACTGCATTTTCAGAGGATGTTTGTCGTTTAATTGTTAAACAAATACTTGAGGCTTTAAAGTATCTTCATTCTAAAAATATTATTCACAGAGATTTAAAGTTGGAAAATATCATGTGGACAGGAAAAAATTATGAAATTCGTGTAACAGACTTTGGTTTTGGAAGAGTTGTTGGAGATGATTTTATAGCTGGGACAATATGTGGAACAACATTATATGCTCCACCAGAATTTTATAAACGACAACCGTATAATGGACCAAAAGCAGATATATATAGTTGTGGAATAGTCTTGTATAATATGATTTGTAATAGTTTTCCATTTGACTGTTCACTAAGTCCTTCTGAACTAGCTCGTGCTATATCTGAAGGAAAGATTATTAAAAGAAAGAAACTCGAATCAAGTTCAATAGAATTGATTGACCTATTAAATAACATGTTATGCGTTGATCCAGAAAAGAGATTTACATCAGAACAGTGTTTAAATCATGAATTCTTTAAAAGAAAACATGAAGCTTCAAGTTCCTTAATAGAAATAAGTAAACCAGCATTTTAATTGAATGTCGTTTAATAACTAACAAATTAATAAGAGAGTTCAATAGAATTAAAATATAATACTTTTTTTAAATTAATGATTTAAAAAAAGCCTATGAACATCTTTCTTTGTAAGTTGGGTTCTACAAAATGGACATTCTACTGTTTCTTTATTTTTGAATAATTCACACATACAACTTCTACAAAAAATATGTCCACAAGCAGTGGATACAACATCACTGCTTGTGTCCCAGCATATTCCACATTTTAATCCATCTTCTTCAGCAACTCCTTTCTCTTTTTTTTCTTGAGGTTTAGCTTCTTTTTTAGGTGATTTCATCCAATCAGGAATTTCACTAACTTGACGTGAATTGATACGGTGTGAACGTTCTGCATATGATCTATTAAGAAAATTATAAAATAAGTTTCTTTGTGGTTGGTTAGTAACAAGGCCAATTGAAGGAAAATATGTTATTCTATTGAAATTATTTTCTTGAAAATCATCTGAGTCTTCATCAAATAATTCTTCACTTGTTTCTGTGTCGAATCCATCATTATAATAAATACCAGGTGTTATAGTGTTAGTACCTAAATCATTAAGTGCACTAACAGGAATAAAGTATCGTGTTTGTCCACTCATCCTTATTTGTCTCTCAATTTCTTCTTGTGGGTTAAGTTGTTGAACCCCTACAATCTCAACTTCAGAATCATCACTTTCGTGATGACAACTACCAACAGACTCATTGTCAGAATCAATTTCAATGACTTGTTTTTGTTGGTCCATAATATCTTTTTAAGTTCTTATTTTTTGGTTTTGAAATATTAAAAAATAAAAAAAATTTAAAAATCATTTTTTTCTTTCAATTCATGTTAAAGTTGAATGTCAGCAAACTT